ACTTTTTCTGGGCTGAAGTGACTCTCCATCTACTAACCAGATGTTAACCAGCTGTTCCAAGAACTCAGAGAGCAAGACAGCCTCACCTCTCTTCCTCTGTGTCTTTTTCTCTCTCTTAAGTCTGTTGAAGTCTGCGGCCGAATGCTGCCATGTTTGTTAATCCGATGTTTGATCTGTTCCACTGTCAGTAACGGAGATGGTTTTTATTCTTCCTCTTACTAATGCCTCAGAGGGAATGATTAAGACTGTTAAGTGCCAGTTGATGAGGAAAAGGGGTGGTCTACTCTGGGGAACGTGCAGCTATCCTCCTCTGGGGAAGCCCTGTGCTTCTGCTGTGCAGCGAGAGGAATCTAACCAAAAATTCAAAACTCTGCAACAATAAAGATTTGCAGTAAATAAAATAAGTGGCTACCTCTGGATAGGTCTTTCATGTGGTAATCGCCAGGCTGCGGAAGGCTCTCCCTTAACAAATCTACCTGGCACTTTTTCTTGATATTTTGAAGCTAAGCACATTCTTTCTTATTCTCTGATACCTGTCACTTCTTTTATTTTCTTATTCTTTCTTTTTTTTTTTGCCTGCTGTGAGTTTTGACTCCGAATGATACGTTTTCAAGCTCTGTTTGTAAAACTCTCCTTTTCTTGCCTTACCTTGATAGCTACTTTCTGCTCCTAAAAGGCTTTTTTTGTTTGCTGCCGCACGGAGTTTTGTGTGGGTTTGTTTTTAAGTGCTGTTGTTGGTAAATGGTTGGTTTTACTGCGTGCCTTTTTATTATGCTTGTCGCTCTTTGGAGGCAGATAGGATTACTCATAAATAAATAAATAAAGGAAAAGGGAAGAATGCCACCAAAAAAAAAAAACTTCACACAGCATTCGAAGATGGATGTGGGGAACCCACCACACTGTACTTACTGCATTACGGCTTAACACAAAAAGAGTTCGCCGATCCCATGACCCAAAAGGAAGGGCCGGCCCTGCCGTTAGGCAGAGTAAGGCAGCGGACTCAGGGAGCTGATTTTTCCATTAAAGAGCAACATATGCTTTGTTAAAATAAATACAAATGGAAAAAAAATCTGCCAGGTAGAGGGAAAGAGATGCATCTTTAACCTGGACAAGGCATGCCCACCATTTGCTCCCCTGCTTCAGGCAGCAAAATCCCTTGAGCCACCTCCTCCCATAGGAATTGCCCAAAGCGGTTCTCTTTGGAATGCAGAAGAAAATCAATTCCCCAAATCAGGTAGAACATGTCAAAGTTTGGATTTTATGCCTCTCGGGCCAAAACCCCTTCAGAGGCTTCTGTCTGCCAGTGGGCTTAGGGGGAAAAGATGGTCAAGCTGGCAGCTGGTTTCTCATCGACTCACAGAGCTTTCCAGCCCAGCCATCCTCTGACCCGGCATACAGACACACAACACAGGCAACCTACACCGTTGTCGGCCCTTCCAAAGGAAGACATTTTGTCCAGATCAACCTGACAGCAATCCGAGAGACAGGCCAATGTCCTGAATTTCGGGTCAAGGAGAATCGTATAACCTACAGACTCCGTGATCACAAGGAAATCCACTGGGGATCAGAGGTGTGAAATGTTAACACAAGCTCCGGAGGAGAAATCGCAGTAGCAACGAACATGAGAATACTAGGGAGGAAGTGATGGCCTGCGGTCAAAGATGGCTTTCTTTTTTTGCCATAGTTTTAAAAGAACCTTTAATTTTCCAAAAAGAAAAGTGTGACTTTCCATAGAGGAGAGACAGTGCAAGCTACTGATCTTTCTAGATAGGACATTCTGGGACTCCCAGTCCAGAAAAAGCAACTTTTCCAGCTGCTCCTTCTGCAGGTTGTATTTTGTTCCTGCTCAATTATTGCGGGAATCACAGGAAAATGAAAAGGTCACCCTGGGGGTCATAATGAAATCTATTCCATTTCAGGGAGATGGAGCAGCTGCTGTGCTCTGAATTATAATTTTCCATCAGATGCCTTGCATAACGAAGCAGCTGGATCAGTTCATCTCCAATTATCCATAAATGAGGGGCAGGTCTTTTGCACAGTTAATGGCTTTGACTTGCCCATTCAGAAACAAACCATTCTTAAATACTCTGCAACAAAAACAGAGATAATTTGCAACAGTATACTGTTTCTTGAAAACATCATAAAGGGGGCAGGAGATGCAGATGGTGCCATTTTGTCTGCTTCCCCAAAAGGAGTGGGGCTTCAACCCTGGCTATGCTTATAAGAAAAGGTTCCAGAGCTGCAGAAAATGGGCTTTACATCAATTTCTATTTAGGCTAACTTCTGGTTGGCCCTTCCACAGAACTGGGACAAAATTCCAACTGCCCATTATGACCTGTCACCATCTGAAGCAACAGCAGAGCACTTCCCCCTAATTTTCCATTGCTTTGCCTTAAAATAATACCATCGCCTCCACCCTCCAAAAAACACGTAGCAAAAGCTATCCAAAATGTCCCCTCACTTCTGTTTGGGGGGGGGAAAGGCCCCATGGGAGGTGAAGGATATTTGCCCATGTTCCTCAGTACCACCAACACCAGAAGTGGGCCTCCATGTTTTGGCAGAACTGCAGCTCCCACCCTTTCTAGCCAGCACAGCCAGGCTGTGAAGGCTGATGGGAGCTGGAGTCTAATTTCACCTCAAGGACCACATTCACCCATCTTTAGTATAAAACTTGGGGAGAACCCACGTTTTGGGGGTGGCAAAACGTCCATAACCCCCCTGTCCGCATCAAGATTCTGAGAAGCCCCCTCCTGAAAAGTACCTTTTTCGAGCACCTGCTTTTCCTTCCCCTCGTCTTCCGCCCGCCCACCTGCCTGGTGCCAGGTAGGTACTCGGGAATCTTGGTGTTAAAAGAATTAAAGGAAACACGAATGAGGTGACCGGGGAAAAGTTACAGGTGAGACCCCAAAGAGAGATGCCTTGAGCATAAGAGAGAGGCCAGAAGTCATCCGTACCAGCCAGATGAGGAAGGCAGGCGAGCTCAGTGATAAGGGACTGGTAGGGTTCTAGAAATGCTCTCACACATCTGGAAAGGCCTTGTTCAGGTATTAACCCATGTGTAGTCCACATTCTCCAGAATAAACCATTAAGTAATAATTAGGCCCTTTTGTGGTGGCCATTCTCTTTTTCTCTCACCGTGGGATAATTGGGGTGGTCCTACCAAGGTGTTCAGACTGTTAATTTTTGCAAGAAAACGCCTCGGGGCCTTGAATGAGGTGAGTCTGGCCCAAAGTCTGAGGGAGCTTTGGAGGGGGGGGCAGACCTCAAAGACAAGGACACAGAAGGAATGGCAAAGGGGGGGGCTATTTTCCATGCAGGCCCGCTCTTCCGGCGCCGGAGCAGACCGCAGGAGTGGCTCCATGTTTCAGTGCGGCCAGGCTGTGTATGAGGATGAACAGAGGTGAGTCACCGTCTCTGAGGGAGGAGCGAGCATTCCCCTCTCTGACTCAGAGCATGCACAGCACATGCAAAATAGACTTTGCAAAGATGGGGTTCCATCCTGAGTGGGTTCCCCCATACCCTTGGAAGCAAAAGCCAGTATCTGAGAAGGGCCAGGACCAGAATCATCTGTGCAAAACACAGAGAGGGTGAGGGAGGGAAGGAGCTGAGCCCTTCTGGAGCCACAATCCTGCCTCCACAATGGTCCTCTTCCCGGAGAGAGCCTGCCTGCCATCTTCCCTTCTGATTGCACTCCGTTATGAAGCAGCAGGGGAAATCCTGTTGTGCAGTTACGCAAAAGGCTGAATTTTGAATTACGAAAGAGCCGGAGGCATTGTCAGTAAACAAATCATGGCTATGGGGATTTCGTAACGGATGGCAGTTTGTCATGAAAAGTTACACCTTCTGCATAACTGCACAGCAGGATTTCAGCCAGCGCTTTCGAAGCTACCATTTTCTGCCACTTTGTGCCTTCCTAACGCATCAGAATGCAGGTCCCATCATCCTCACCCAATGTGGCCAGAGTAGTGGGCAGTGTAGTCACACACTCTCCAAAGGCACTTGTTCGGAGAGAAAGCTGTTCTAGGCTACTGATTCTGGGCCACAGTGTGGTTCTTCAGAGGTTATTCCTCTGATCCCAGATTCTTCCCTGGCAAGGATTCTGAGCAGCTACTGTACTCATTACAAAGGTTTCTAAAGCAGGACTTGGAAAAGTTGCCACCTCTGGACTCAGTACAACAGCCATACCCTGATACAATTCTGTGGTGCATAAGGCTGCTGCAGTTACATTAGGATCCCCCTATCAGCTGGATCAGCATCCATGGATTCACTTATCTGCAGCCTGAAAATATTAAATTAAAAACCACAGAAATAGATATTTATACATATTTCCATGGTGTAATTACCAAAAACAGCCACTAAAGGAGCCAGAAAAAATGCTATGTATAGTGTTCACTGCTTCCATATTTTTTGGCATCCACAGGGAGTTTGGTACTGATCCCCTGCAGATACCACAGTTTTACTGTACATTCCTTAGAGTTGGTAAAGTCCTGAAATGCCATGTCTTGCTGCATGCTTTCCCCAAAAAGGAGGGTCTCCTTTCATGATACGCAGATTTGTGTTTCGGAACTACAGTTTCCAGAATCTCCTGGGTGCCAATGGCTAATCTGACGGAAGAATTCCGGGAGTGGGGGGTCCAAAAACTCACATCTTTCACCTCCTCTCCTTTCTCTCCAAGACACGCTTCCTTTGCTCACTTCACATGCTGCACAACCCCTAAGATCGCAGCTGCCTGGATGTGTGTTATCTGTAGAGCCCTTTGAGTCTAGCCTGTACTCTGCATATGCTCAGAGATACCCTTTGTCCTGATTAATCTGTGAGTTCCACAGCGGATGCTGCTGCATGAAGAAAGTGAAAAATAACTCCCAGACCCCCTCCTCTATTCAAGCCGTGTCCAACCAACCACTACTGTCAGAATGCAGATCAATCCATGTCCCGATCAAAAGCAACCCAAAGGTGCCAGACGGAGAACCTCAGACATCCGGGCAGAGTCCACGACTTACCTGATTACAGGTGTTAATATCCACGCCATTCCTCAAGTGGTCCAGAGCTTTGTCCAGGTTCCCGGACCGCGCTGCCCGCAGGAAGCTCGTCGCCGCATCGGCCTTAGAAAGAGAAGAGGAGATCAATGGGTCAGTGGGAAGGGGGGAGATCTTAGCCCGAATCGGCTACAGCTCCCTTCTCACTTCTCCACCCAAATCATTTCAAGCTGCAGGCGAGGGCTTGCCTGATTGAGGATCCATACATACTTTAAAAGGGGGGAGTGGGGGAAACCATCCCTGCATTAAGAAAGCTAGTTTGTCAGCATTTAGGGGGTAATATTCCTTGGGGGCTAGCTTGCATAATCTTCATAACCTCCTTCCTCCCTCTAAGCCTGTTCTGTGCAAATTTTTGTGAGCACTGATGTCACCCATTCTCCTTGGCTTAAACATACGTGTGCCCATTTCAGAAATATGCACCATGTTTTTCCTAATGTTTTGAACACTCAGGTGCGATGGCCACATAACCTTTCTTTTTTTGGACTATGAGCTGCAATTCTAGAAGTACAACACAAACGTGAGAGAGAGAGAAAGAGAGAGAGAGAGTTTTCCTGGATTGCAATCCCCAGAAAAGTCAACGTGGCCATCTTAGCCTTGCAGACGCAAAAAAAAAAAACATGAAGCTCTACAAAAATGTGGAGATGTCCCACAATAAAGTGCATCCATTCTTGTGTTGTGTCAAGGACCCATGGCTCAAATAAATATGCTTCTCAGAGCTCAGTGGAGAGAATTGCTCATGCATCTCTACTGAACAGTATTTAAACTGATGGCATAATTACACAGAAGCCAGATTTGCTGTAAGAACGACAACCATGTGCCACGTCATAGAAACATGGAGTTGGAAGGGTCCTCTAAGGCCATCTAGTCCAACCCCCTCCTCAATGCAGGACTACAAATAAAAAAACATTTGTCAGATGGTGGTCCAATTTTCTCTTGAATACCTCCCACGTTAGAACTCTCACCCCCTCCCAAAGTTATTGGTTCCATTGTCGTACTGCTCTAACAGTTAAGAAGTTTTTTTTCCTGATATTCAGACTAAATCTGGCTTCCTGTAGTTTGTGCCCTTTCTTATGTGTCCGGAGAGTCCCCTGGCTTTCCCTCCATAACAAGAGGTACAGATTAATCTTATGTGCTGACATCATTAAATACCATGTTTCTCGTCCCTATCCCCCCCCGATTGGCTTTTGCTGGCAGGGAAAATCTCAACATAGTGACAAGAAAATACAGTTGTGAGCCGTGCTCAACATTATGAAGGGGAACAGATCAATTCAAGGGTGCCTTTTTCAGCAGCAGCACCACACTCTTTCCTGAGGCGGACCCAAAATATTTTGCTGCCTGAGACAAGGAGCCAATGGCCCTTCTCCGATACTAACCTGGATCAAGGGGGAAAACATCATAAGCCAGCTTAATTGCTTTGGCAATGCGACACAGACCAGTTCGTAAGTGCTTCTACCTTTCCCCTGGCAGTCAAAACGCAACAGCCCTCCATTAAGTAATCATAATGTGATGCTCTGATTGTGCCACATAAAATCTGCCACCTGAGGCCACAGACGGAAAAGTAAAGACAATTGTATTCTTGACTGATCTATCTCCCAGATTTTTCTGCCTCCCTTCCTACAAGCGATAAATCTCTTTAGGGGATAGAAAGAACAAAGCACGTATTACAACGGTCCACTGGGACATTTCAACTCCTCAATTCTCGACTGACATCAGAGATCTGACAGGACTGGCTGCCATCCTGCTAATGAGAACAGGAAGGTGGGGGGGGTGTCCGTGGCTGTGATTAAAGATGATCAAAAGACACCAGTGAGAAGAGGCGGCCAAACGGTGCTGTGCCAGGGGAAATTCTCATGTCTCAGAGCCCACGCGGCTGTGTGTCTTCCCATGTCCGTGCGGCAGTTCTCGATAGCCACACTTCTGCCGGCCCTCCATTAAGCAACATAACGGAGAGACAAATAGGATAGAGGGAATATCTCAAAGCGATTGCATGTAAGCAGCCAACCAATCAGGAACATACTGTGTTCCCCCCCCCCAAAAAAGACAGGGTCTTATATTAATTTTTGCTTCAAAAAAAGCATTAGGGGTTATTATCAGGGGATGTTTTTTTTTCTTCATGTACAATCATCTAAATTGATTCAAATGCAGTCATGTCATCTTCTTCTGGTTGCTGCACAAGGGTGGATGGCAGGGTTTCACTTAACTGGGGCTTATTTTTTGGGTTGGGTTTATATTACGAGCATCTAGAAGAATCATACTAGGACTTATTTTTCAGGTTAGGTCTTATTTTCGGGGGAACAGGGCAGTTTTTCTCTGTACAAGTGACAATTACTAGGGCTTATTTTTCAGGTTAGGTCTTCTTTTCGGGGGAACGGGGTAGTCTCTCTCTGTACAAGTGACAACGCTCAAGAAGGCAACCTCATTTCAACCTGGATTTCAACCTCATCACTAGAGATGGAATAAAATGCAGAGGCCGGTCCCGCCAGGTTTTGCACCCAAAGGGAGCAGAGTGATGTCATGGGTGTCATCTTATCCTGGTCTTCAGACAGCAAAATAACTTGGGTCGGCTCAGATTCCTGATTGACCGTTGCTTTTAAATGTCCTCTAAATTACTCTAGATTGCCCCTGAAAATGGGCTTCAAACAGAAGGATTATCTGGCAAGCTGAGATTTGGTCAGTTTAAACCTTAATATTCAATTTATTGATTTTAATGTTTTAATGATTGTTTTTAATATAGGATATTATTATAATATTGCCTATTTTTAATGGTTTTAATGTTTTTTAAAAGTTTTAATATTGTTGTACACCGCTCAGAGACCACTGGTAATGGTGTGGCCAAAAAATATTGTAAATAAATAAATAAATAAATAAATAAATAAATAAATAAATAAATAAATAAATAAATAAATAAATAGTTGTTTGCTGTCAAATCAATTCTGACTTATGGTGACCCTTTTCAGGGTTTTCTAGGTAGAGAATACACAGAAGTGCATTACCCTTCCCTTCCAACAGGGGCGCCCTGGGACTGTGCAGCTTTCCCAAGGCCACCCAGGCTGGCTCTTCTCCTGACTTTACATAGCAAGCCGCAAACTGTACAAATATCCCGAGGTCGTATGGAGCCGACAGTTAAAAGGCCAGGACTGTGCTAACACGCAACTGCATTTTCATGTAAAATAATTTTCTGTGCTGACGTGCTACAGATAAGAAAGGTGAAACTACTCCAGTAATCCATCAGTCATGCGCACACGGTGATGCAATTACCATTTCGTTAGCATCTCTTCTCCCATAGCTCCCTAAATGCCAGCCCAGGTATTTTGTTCTGAATAAACAGTATGTGAGGCAGTCGGTAATAAGATGTCTAATATTACATATCACATTTCAAGCCACAGGGCCGGGTCAAACATCCCCACAACTGGAGACAGCAGTGCACCTGAAAACACAGAGAGGTCACAGGAACAAAACCTCTCTCTGTAGGTACTTTCACCCCTTTTCACAGGTACAGGTTTGCTCCCCCACCCCCACACCCCGCCCCGGGAGAAGACCTCCTAGTTTGGCAGCTGGTCTTCCCCTTAGGGTCAGCCTCCCTCCGGCTAAGGCAGACCAGATTGGAAAGCTTGCATAATTCTTCAGGAATGGGAACCACCCTCCCCCTTCCATTCTAGGCCAGCCATGCGCTTTTCGAACCGAAAGTGGGGCAGGCAGGTGTCCGAGGAGGGGAGGTAACCAAGACGCATTGGCTATAATTAGCGCCGCGCTTCCTGTGTGGGACCCTGACTGGCAAAAAAAGACAAGGTTTGGGAGAGGGGGAGAGGAATAACGAGGGAAGAAAGCTGGCAGCCGGCGGAGGACGGATATTTGTGAATGGAGAGGGACCTCGTGGAAGGAGCTTGGACGGGTTTCTTGGCTGCTCCCCGGTGCCAGCGCCGAGGGAGGGAGGGACGAGGGCTTCTGTGGGACAACTTCAGTCCTGAGCCCCTCCAGGCAGAACTGGGGAGGGATCCCGCGTGGATGCCCTGCAGAGCTGCCCATGTGAACCAAGGCTGGAGGTCAAGTAGCCCTCCAGAGGTTTGGGGGCTTCAGCTCCCACCGTCCTGAGCTAGGCTGGCCAACAGTGAGGCAAAGAGCTCAACATTTCATCCCCGTGCCCCTTTCGAGGGGCAACGAAAGACGCGCAGTTGCTTGGAGCAGATACATTAAGTCCTACGCGCCGCAGCTAATTAATTAACCCAAGGCACAATCTAATCCCGTTGGGTGTTCAAGAGAGGAACTCTTCTTGTTCCGGGCTGACGTGTTGTTGTTTTTTGAATCAGCAGCCCTGCAATTCACATTGAGAGATGGAAAGAGTTATTCGTGGGACTACAAAGCCTAGGATCCTGCCCTCAGCATGGCCAGCGGCCATGACAGCGGGGGGGTGATGGGAGATGTAGTCCAAAATACATCCTTCCCCCAACGCCTTTGACGTTCCAGGCCCTGCTTCAGAGCAAGAGTGGGGTTTTTTGTACAGTGAATGCATTCAGCTGGCAACAAAGCCTGTCCAGGTGGCCTGGGTGGGGAGACGGGGAGCGGCTCACAGGGGACGATCCTCATCTCTGATAGAAACAGGAGTCACTGTGCCGTGTCCTCTGTTAGATGTTCGTGTCTCGGCCCATGGGTGTCATTATAGCAGCACAGGATCAAAAGAGAGAGGCCTGCTAGACCAGATCAAAGGCTCATCCAGTCTCCCATCCTGTTTCCATCATCATGACCAAACAGAAGCCTTTAGGAAGACATGGGGAGGGGGGAGAAGCGCCCACTGGCCTGCCAGGCTTATTGCCTCCAAGAGGAGAAAGAATACGAAAAGCACAACAGTGGGTGCTAGAATAAATCAATCTGGAACTCTCTCTCAAGAGGCAAAAAAAAATAAATTATAATTATTCGAAAACACCGGGCACAGTCCATCAAAATTATAAAAACATTGACTGGTATTATAGAACAGATACAAGTTTCAACCAAAAACCTAAGTATCTGTTAAATATCAGCACAGTATGTGTGCTGTTCCTAATATTGCCATTTTTGTAGCTTTGATGGTG